AATGCAATGATTTGGAGTCTGAATTGTGACCAACATATCTTTTCTGGTACTGTTGATACGTCATATTTATTAAAAAAAGAAACTCCATACCGAAATAATTGATTGTAAGGTGTGGAACCCACTACGCTCTTCTTTGGCACTGATTTTGAATCATAGTTTATGTAAATGGAGTTAGTTAGTAGTAGTTTAATTTCCGTGGTTATCATATTAGGTCATTATTTTAGCTCAAGTGGACTTTGTTTAGGCCATTGAATAAGGTCGCCATTCTAAATTAACCTAACTTAGTAACTGGATTAAAAACTAGTACTAACAGTATATTGATTACAATACATATCTTGGAGAGATTTTTATATCCCAATGTTTAATTTTCACTCATTTTATTGTAATCTTAAGTTGAAAATATTTTTTTAGGACTTTTTTCTTTGTATTTTAACTGTTGTTTCGTATATTCAGAGCATCTGTATTTTCTATCTTGCAGCAAAAGTTTGCTTCATATTGCCTTTTATTGTAGATATATCTATCCTATCCTTCTATTATAAAATAAAGCAGGACAATTATAACAAATATGTAGTGTAGAAACGTATATTCGTTTAGGCAGAGTCAAGATGCTGTCACCTCGAGCAGGATCATCGTATTGAGATAGTAGCTCAGTGAATTAACTAACACACCAGGAGGAACCTTAACTCTACAACTAATGAATATTTATTCCACAAAAGCCCTACATATTCGATTTTTTAATTTTTATTTTTCGTTTCAAATCAATTCAAGATATGCTAGTAAGTTCCTCCAAATGTCCATCAAGATATCAGCATGATAAAAATTTATTTTTGTCATGTCTTATATAAAATGCTCTTCATAAACTCCGCTACCTCTGCTGTTCTTGGTGTGTATTGCGCTAAATAAGTTTGTTTTTAATTTAAATATAAACATTTTTTTCTATGTTGCTTCGTTCCGTTCCGTTCGCTGTTCATGTTAGAATACAATTGAGTGCATTGAAGAAGTGAATGAACGACCTTTTAGAAAAAATTACACGCATATATCTGCGCATATGTGCATTAGTTGTATTGTGCATTGTGCATTGTATATACGCTGTTCGTTATTGTTGTTGTGTTGTTTTTGTTTTTGTATTACAAGTGCTGGACGGAATGCATATTGATAGACTTTTACGTAACTTAAATGTGCCATAGCAAAGAAGAATAAATACATTTGTACGAGAGAGAGAGAAAATAGCATTGTAAAAACAACAACAACAACAATAACAATAACATTTATTAATAATGGTGCAATGCATAACATAACAACGAGCTGAGGAAATTCTGACCCCATAACAAACTATCAAATTATATTACTACTACCAACCAAACGTGTAGCCACTAGCCACTAGCCAATAAATAATAATAATGATGATAACAATGATAATTATGATAATAATGATGACGATGATGTTGATGTCTAGAATGTTGACTAGTAGCAGCTAACTTAAATGGGTAGTAGATGATGGGTATAGGTAGGAGGATAAGACTGATGCTTTGCGCATATTTTTCCTCAAACACTATTCACATGCCGTAGCATCGTTGTATCGCATCGTATTGCATCGCATCACATCACATCACATATCACATATCACATCACATTCATTATATATCGCATAGCATAGTATAACATCGCATTTTCTCTTCATATTGTCGGTCTTGTTGTGTGTTGTGTTGTTGCGTTGGTATTCGTAGTTGTTGTTGTTAGTGTCGGCATTAGCATTAGCATTGTTGCCTTCAAAACGTTCGTCGTTCGTCGCTCGTCGCTCGTCGTCGTCATCATCGTCATCGTTTTCATTGAAATCAAAACAGTGGAACTCAGCTCTCAGCTGAGCCAAGCAGCTGTGTGCTAAATGATGTAAAATATTTTGCGGCATTTTTGCTATTTGACCGCACTTCCTCACTCCCGCCGCACAAACATTATGTTGTTTACTAAAATTTTATGCTTCATATAAATGCCATTGTAAATATATAAATGTATGTGTGCATGTACCGGTTACAAAGCTGGTTGGTATGCAATTCAAAAATATGTTGTGTTGATTGGTGTTGACCTAACTCAAGTAAATGCAATTTTTCGAGTTGTTTTCTCTTTATAGTTTGCATAAAAATACATATAGTAAAATAAATACAAATATATTTTTATTTAATTGTAAAATGAATAATAAAAGTAAATAAAAATTCCAATTTCAACTTTAAGTTTTTCTTCAATTATAATAATTATAAAGAGTAATAAAAATAATTTTGTATTGTATATTTGTTTTATTTTACATGAATATTTTTTAATGTATTTAATTTAATACATAAGGTTTTTGAAAAAAATTTACAGGATGTACAGGATCGATGTTAAATAATACACAAAATATTAAAATTTGTTTTTAAAAATATTTTTTTAATTATTAAAAAAAAAAATATAGTTTTTTTTTTATTTTTTTAATTATTTTTTTTTAAATTAATTTTTTTATATTTTCTTTTATTTATTTTTTTATTTTTTTGTTTTTTATTTTAATTTTATTGTAGTTTATTTTTTTTTTATTCGGTTTATATTTTTTTTTTTATTATTTTTTTATTTATTTTTATTTTATTTATTTTTTTTATTTCTTTTATTCTTTTAATTAATTTTATGTACTTATTTTATTATTTTCTTTTATTTATATTTTTTTATTTCTTTTTTTGTTTTTTCTTAAATTTTTTTTTTTATTTCTTTTAATTAATTTCATGTATTTATTTTTATTTATTTTCTTTTAATAAAATTTTTTATTTATTTTTATTTTATTTTTACTAAAAGTAAATGTTAGGTGAAAAGTTTACTCTCGATTTGGAATCGAAAATGACATTAATCAAGCTTTCACAGCACAATTAATTGAAATTAGCACCGATTTTATACTTATAGATTAATTTATTTTTACAGATAAATATTTAAGATATTTTGCTATTGACTAAAAATACGTCCATTATTGTAAATTGATGTATAATATGAAGAAGACATATTTGTATTAGCTTCTTTCTTTCGAATACTTTCTTTCACTGTTCGTTTTCAATATTTACATTAAAAGTATTAACTTTTAAGAGCCTCACTGCAAATAACTTAAATATCTATTAAATTTTTTCATATTAATAATTTAAGGTCTTCTTCTATTACTACAACTATTACTAATACTACACTCATTATGACTACCAATAAATATCATTACTTTTCTCAGCATTTTCAATGCATTATAAAAATAATTGCAGTCGCAACAGAATAATAAAATTACTTTTATTGTCTGTTTTGTTTATAAATATAATGCTTGAGTAAAGTTATGCGTGGATATACATCTATACATGCGATAGATACATCTGCGATGTACACCTATTATCTATGTGCTTATGAGTGCGTCCGTAGATTTTTGCATTTATTCAATTTTAAAAGTTGAAATACTGAAAATTACTTCCAAAAGATTGATGTTGATTTACGTGTTTAGGATTAAACATAACTGCATTGAAAAATATATAAAATAAAAACCTTACTTCTGCAAATGCAGTCAGTCTGTCATATGCATATAATTGATTTGCAAGTTATGAAGCGGTAAAATGTTTAAAGCAATTAAATTGACATTAATGTTTAATTAATTATGGAGTATTTGATTAAAAGTTAATAACGAGAGTAAGAAAGAGATAGAGAGGAAAAGTATTGAATGAGAAATAAATCAAGAAAAAGAGTGAGTCAAGCAAGAACACGAACAAGAGCGAACTAAAGAGATCGCCCGCTCACATTTCAAAGAAGAGGGCAGTGCATTCTGCATATTTGTTGTGGATTATATCTCTTCATTTAAGTTTTCTAACCAACTTGAAGGCCATAAGTTCTTTAACCTGTAATGTTTTGATTAGAAGTCATTAAATATATAGTTATAGTTTTTAATTCTTTTTATAACAAGCATATTATATATCATGCTAATCTTTGTTAGTATGTTGATCGGTAAAAATTACTAATTAATAGTAAAAAAAAGTGTTTTCTATGTTTAATCAATTATTAAGTATATTGTAATCAGTTGAATATAATTACTTTAACTTATGAAAAGTTATAAGAGTTGTATAATATAGTTTGTACTTCTTTAAAGTTCCATAATGCACAACTTCAGTTCCCTGAGAATTTTGTTCAGGTCCATTAAAAGTTCATCTAAAAAGTTGATTCTAAAGTTTTGGTATAAGTAATTAATTTTATAGGATTAACAAATTTTAGTATTAGTTTTTTTAGGTTGTTATAAAAGGTCTCAAGTAATTATCTTGTAAAATCCAAAAAAATATACTAACGGAAGTACAAATTAGAAATAATTTTTTTAATCATCCCGTAGAGGTCTGTGGTTGTTGATATATTGTGTTATTCCTAAGGTCATAACTAGCAGTATAGTATTTATATTGATAATGTTATTTATATAGATATATATACATACATGACATTTATTCAAATAGGTTAATTAGCTACATATATTTATTATATATAGAAAATAAGTTTTATTTGCTTTATTTATTTATATTTATTAAAAATTTATTTTTATATAGATAAGTATATAAAATATTCATAAATATTTTTTATTATTAAATAAAAATTATTCCCCGATCACATTTTAATAATATTATTTATTATTACTTTATTTTATCTCTTTTGTTTTGATTTATTATTTTTTATTTTGTTTTTTATATTTTATTATTAGCTATTTTTTTTTTTTCCTTTATTATTTGTTATTTTTATTTTTTTTTCCTTTATTATATTATTTGTTTAATTTTTTTTTATTATTATTATTATTATTTTCGGTATTTTCAGTAATGATTATTATAATATTCTAAAATGTAGGTTATATATATTTAATTTATATTTATTATACCATGTACAATATATTATATTATTGTTATTGTATATTATATAGCGAATATAAGTTTTTATATAAAATACATTTAATAATATATTTTTATGTTTTTCTTATATTCTAGGCTGCTATTTTGCAACAAACATCGTCTTACATTTGCGAGCTTGAAGCTCAGAAGACTCAGTTACTATCGCAAAATAGCCAATTAAAACGCTTGCTTGGCCAACATGAGCCCGGTAGTGGTGGTGGCGGAGGTGGTGAAGTTATAGCTTGTACAACTATAAACGGTGAAACTATAACTGGTGTCGCTAATAAGAAGCGTAAGCTTACTGATAATATCTTTAGTATTCAAACTATCAGTGATTCATCTGATGAAGGTCTCGGCTCAATGTCACCAGAGCCAATGACTCTGCTTAATAATAATGGCCCGTCTAGCTCATCGAAAAGTCAAATTATACTTGCTCATAATGCTGCTACCAAGGAAATTTTGGATTTAAAGAAGCAATTGGATAAAGAGCGTCGCATACGTACAATGCTAGAAGATGAATTACAAATGATTAAACGTCAACTTTATTCTGTAGCAACAGCTCCTCAACCTTCATCAACATCTAGTTACATTCCAAGAGAAGTTATTGAACATACTGACAATTTAGTTCGTGATACTATTGAAGAACTGCCAGCTGGTACAGTATCTTATGTTGAAATTGATGAAATGACTGGTCAATCGCAAGTTGTTGTTTGCTCAAGTATTGAAGAGCTGGAGAATGAAGCTGCTGCAGCTGCCGATGAAATTATAACTGAGGATCATGTACATGAAGAGGTTATACTATCATCATCCACTGAATCAGAACAAGAAGTAAATGCCATCGCAAAAGCCTATGCTGCTGGTGGCAGTTCACCATCACCAAGTGTATTACAACCAATTTTACAGGCTGCTATCAAAGCAACTCCCAAGGTTGAAGTTGAGCGCATTAATGATCCAATTGTTAAGGTTAAAACCGAAAAAATTGAACAGCCTAGTGGTTTAACGCGTTCGCGTCAAAATCTTGAAACAATCGTTGAAGCAATACGCCACCTTGAAGGTGATCATCTATTTAGTGATGTTAATGAGCAACAAAAGTTGCAAAGCCACCATAATCAACAACAAAAGGCTCAAGAGGCCCCACTTGCGTTAACCAATAAGCACCAGCAACACGCACAACGCGCCACAATCGCTGAACTTCGCCCTTATCTGCAACTCAAAGGCAATAAACAGGTGACTATAGTTGGTGGTGGTGGTGCTTCAGTTACGTTAACACAGCAACAACTTGCCAAATCTGCAACTGCTGTCAGTCTTAAGGCAGCACAGCAACAACAGAAAGAATCTGCCACACCCTCAGCTACAGTCACACCCACCGCCATATTCAAGGTTCAAACAAACACACCTGCCACTACTATTGGTGGCGGTAATGTTACAAACAGCGGTGGAGTTACACAGCACATTACTATAACCAGCTCTGCTTTAAAGCAATGTCGCCCCGGCGTCATTGTTGCCAAGCAGTCTTGATTTAATAATACAACTAAGTATCAAAAAGTTGTTGGCGGTGGTGACGTTGAGTTGGGTGGAAATAATGGTGGTGGCGGCGACGGTAGTGGTATTTATAACGAGGGGCAGGTGAATTTTATTGGTGATAGTTTGTTGATGAATAGTGCGGATGGTGTTAAGGATGATTTGATCGATGTAGTATTAACAGTTAATGGAAGTGGACTAGAAATGCGCGCCAATGTTGAAACAATTGGAAATGATGAGAAGCAGCAAACCGAAGGAATTGACAACGACTTAGAAGAAATGATTGAATGTGTCGAAGAGTTGCCAATGATGTCTTATACATTAGATGTTGTACAGCCAAACGATAATGACATTATTGAAGTTTGTGACACCGTTCAAATGCTGGACATTGTAGCTGCAAACACTAACAGCAATACACAAGATTTTCGTAAAGATGTCATCCAAAAACCAATAACAACAACAACAGCAACAGCTATAAGAGGCGCAACAAGACACACTGCACTTGGGAGAACAGCGGGAATGATGATGACAAGTAAAAACACCATTAATTTAAATTCAAACTCAGTCAACATGCAAACAACACAATTTGTTAAAAATAAATCGAATTTTCAAATGATAAACAATAATAATAATAATAATAATAATAATAATAATAATAATAATAATAATAATAATAATAATATTTTCTGCAATACTAAATACAATACGAAAAAAGATAAAACTAAAAATAATAAAATAGTTAATAAAAAAAATATGAAGAGCCTTACAACAACAACAACAACAGCAGCAGCAGCAGCTACAATAAATTGTGTACCAATAAGAGCAACTGCAATAGCTGCGGTCGCAAAAACGGTTTTACGTTCTAAGGAAAAAGGCAAAAACTCAAATAATACAAAATTTACGGATAAAAATATTAATAAGAATTTCAATTTAAATAATGTCAATAGCAGCAGCGATGATGTGCTGGTAACTCAAAATCCAAAAGGCAATTGTACCGGCAACAATTCCACTATAAAAAATAAGCAACAAATTACTGCTAATACCATACGATATGCGAATTTCAAAAATTATAATGTACAACATATTAATAATAATAAAATGCCGAATACAGTAGTTAATAATAATATTAATAATAATAATAATATTAAGTACATGGAACAAAAAACCATTAACTCATTTAATAATAGCAATCTACAAAATATTAAACATAAAAATATATTGAATAAAACAACTGATACAATATCGAAACCAAATACTACTACTACAACACTAATAACTAATAATAATATTAATAATAATAATTTGAATATGAATAATAATCATAAAATTAAAATTAATAGTCAAACGATTATTAATCCAAATAAGAATTTCAAAACAAAAACTTCGAATATATCTTTTGTTGCAAGTAGTTCGGAAAAGTCGATGTCGTCGATGGTTTGTGCAGATAATGTTGCTATCGCAACCGCTACTGTTGCTAGCAAAGCTAGTTGCAGTCGCAGTAGAACAATTGCAGTTACAATACCTAAAACAACAACAATAACACCAGCAGCTGCAGCTGCAGCTGCAACAACTATAGCAAAACCATTGGCAACAGAAACCATTTCAAAAACAAAAACAATTACTAAAAGTCAGATGCGAAAAATATTTGGTGCTGATGTTGCTACTCCTAAAAGCAATGAAAGTATCTTAAGTTCGCATGAACGAAATGTTGTTGCTGCAGCTGCAATTATTGGTCGCAAAAATTTAACAAAAATCACTAAACAACAACAGCTACAACAACAGCAACAACAACAGCTACAACAACAGCAGCAACAACGTCACCAATTAGACAATATCTGCGAAGATATTGTTATCAATAATGGTAGCAATAGTAAAAGAGTTAAATTGACAAAAACAGCAATAGCAACAGCAACAGCAACAACGAAGGCAAATGCAACAACAACATTACGTGCTCAACAACAACAACAACAGCAGCAGCAGCAGGAGCAGCAACAAAATTTAAAATCTTCAACAAATAAAACTAAACTTGGCAAAAGACGAAAGCAACGCTAATTTAACGAATTTGGCAAAAAAATTTCATTGTTTTGAATATAATTAACTTTATAAATAAATTAAAATTATTTCAAATAAATAAGCTTCAACTCTAAAATTATTTCTAGGAATAATATTAATGACTATGTTTCATAACATAAACAATATATTTATATTACGAGTATATATATAAATATTCTATATAATATGTAAAATTCATTAATATATATATATACATACACACAGACATATATGTATATACATATATACATATATATATATAAATTTCTAAAGTTTGAAAGGTAAAATAATAAATATAAAAAACACCAAAAAGGTGTTATAACAACATTTTTTAAAAATATTTTAAATTTAGTACAATTTACTTAAAAAGTTATAAAAATTATAAATATATATATATAATATAATTACAAAAAAAAATACATAACGCAAAATATAAAATTAATTTACTGAAAGCAGCAGTTATGTAAACCAAAAATAAAAAGAAAATTGTCATTTGGAAATTCGATTTATTTTCTTATTTTTAAACTATATTTGTTATATGTAAGCAAGAAAAAACAAAAAACAACATTAAATATATTTGTAATTTTTTTATATTACTGAAGCAAAAAATAAAGAATAAATAAAAATAAAACAGTTCTCATACGAAATTCATTATAAATATTGTTATATATAAAAACACACACATAATATCTATATATATATATATGTATATATGAATATATATATATATATATATATAGTAAAGATACATTTTTCTTAAAATACTAGTAATAACTGTAAAGTGAAATATGGTTATATATTACTTTTATACGTAAAAAACAAAAACACACTTGAATAAATTCAGGTAGGAGTCATTTATGAGCCGATATAATTCTATCATTTACTTTGCTTATATACCTTTATTGTACATTGTGAAATATATTTATATATATTCATATGTGTAAATGTGTGAGCATATAATGAAATTAATTTTAACACCAGTATATGTACAATATATAAACTATAAAGTTTATAGTATTCAAATATATATTTAATATAGAATTGGTACATGATAACATAAACAATTAATTTATATATAAAATTATTATTACAAAAAAAAAAAAAAAAAAAAAAACGCTAAAATGCTAATATATATAAAAATGAATTCAAACGATAGTACTAACTTTGAAATTTTATGTTATAAACATATGAAGTTGTTCTTATATTTATATGCTTGTACAAGATAAATAGATTGTTATATTACTATTAAATCATAATTCATAATACTGTATACATAGTTTAGTTTTTAACATATACATATGTTTGCTGATATGTACATATATATACAAATATATATAGATATTACTGCAGATATAGAGTAAATAATCTATGCATACGTTATATATTTTAGTATATGCTATATGAATAGATTTTTTATAATTACATGTATGCTTTTTTTTGTTCATTTTTTTTATATGTACATTTTTTTAGGAAGTATGTGAAAATTTTTTAAAAAAATATGTATATATTTTTAAAAAATATGTATGTACATTTTTAAAAAAAATTCTACGTCTCATTTTCTAAGAAATGTTTTTATGTATATAATATGTATATATATAATTTTTTATATATTTATATACATAAACTTTTATGTATGTGTGTGTGTGTGTATGTATATTTATATATGTGGTTTTATATATGTATGTATATTTATATATGTATGTATATTTATATATGTATGTATATTTATATATGTATGTATATTTATATATGTATGTATATTTATATATGTGGTTTTATATATGTATGTATATTTATATATGTAAAATTATATATATATATTTATATACTTATATATGAACATTTATGTATACAAGTATATATGTAAAGTTTTGTGTTATGTGCTAGAGAAGAAATAAACTCCTACCTATATTTATATATACTTTTAATATCTCAATTTTACATGCACCCGTATTTAAATGTATATGTAAAAGATATATTTAATTATTTTTAAATAAAGAACTAAAACATTTTTACGTATAAAAGTACTATTTGTTAAAATTAAAAAAAGAAACATAATCACACATATTTGTTGAAAAATTATATAATATATATATATATATATATATATATATATATATATATATATATATATATATATATATATATATATATATATATATATATATTATATATACATATTTATATATACATATTTATATATACATATTTATATATACATATTTATATATACATATTTATATATATATATTTATATATACATATTTATATATACATATTTATATATATATATTTACATATATATATTTACATATATATATTTATATATATATATATATTTAACACACATGGACACAAAACGGAAAACAATTCTAAACAAATTTTTTTTGCAATTTTATAAGCAATAAAAAATTTACAAATAAGCAAAATAAACCTTATAAACAACCTTAATAAACAAAACAAAGTACAAAAATAGGCATAAATAATTTTTTACCTTTATTTTCTTAACAATAACCAACCAACCTAATTTAATCCAAAAATTGAATAAAAAGGAGCAAAATATGTATTTAAAAAAGAAACAACAGTAATAAAACAATACACACCAATCCTACACATATAAAAACACATAAACTAAGTAAAAAAAAATCCCTATTTTTAATTTATAATTAATTATTTATAAATAATTACAGCCAATAGCAAAAAAATACATGTAGGTTGAATTTCATAAAAAGCAAAAATAAAATAAAAAAATTAAATAAAATCGTTTGCATATAGTTTTTTAGATAACTCTATAATTCCTTTTATTTTAACTTTTAAAATACATAATTCTTTAATTAGTTTTAAGAACTCAGAACCATCGCATAGTTTATCATTTAACTAAAGAAAAGAAAAAGCTGAAAATTTACGCAAACTAAAATACAATTTTTATATATAAACGAATCTAAATTATTTAAATAAAAATATTAAATA